TTATTGGATTCATGGAAAGAGAGTTTGGCGACTAAGGAACAAGAGCTGAATATCATCTGGCTCATTTTGCACTGCAGAGAGCCCCAGACTGAGCCGAGGGGAGGAGAGGCTGAGGAAGTTTGTCCCGAGGACTCCTGTGACCCCAGGTAGAAAGGGAGCTTTCTCTGGGGGACGCAGCGTTTCTCCCCTAATCTTTCAAGGCTTGCGTCAATCATTGCTGCCTTTTTTTCCCGTTTGTCACATATGTTGACATTTTCTGCACTGATGATGTGGGTGAGGAAATGGCCTTTTTACATTTATTTTTGAGATTTATTCCTGAATCATTCTTACTAAAAACTCTTCATTTGCCTACTCATGCTTTCAGTGGAGACCCTAGAAAATGTCAGCACAGAAAATGAACTATATTATTACTATTAATTTCAATGTAAGTGCAGGGAAGCACAAGGTCGGTTCAGTTGCAGTTTTATCCAGGCTCAAAGTGCTTCGTGGTCCATCCAGCCTGAGCAGAAAGGCTGGTGGTGACTCTGTCACTGTGGACACCCCACTGCCACCTCCTGCGGTGGCTTTCAGGAGAGATGCTGCTCCAAGCGTAAGTGCTGACCCATAGCGTAACTGAGCCTGAGCTCCTCCCAGGTGCCTCCTTGCGCTTTATCCGAGAATTGGTCCTCGGCTGATTGGCCGCACATCTGCAGATCTTCAGGAGGCGATTTTGGCCATGGCTGTGTTTGTACATACATTTGCTTCAGGGCTGGAAAACCTGACCTTGTCGTAGTGTGGTCTCCCTGCTCCGGGGTGAGTCTGGCCAAAGCAAAGGAGACGAGCTACTGGACAGGGCTCGGTGATCAGCGGCAGAGAGCAGGGCTCAGGGATTGCTGCACCAGCAAACTGTCCCCCAAGGGGCTCTGAGTGCGCCAAGACTAATGCTTTGGTGTAGGAGACACGCTGTTTCTTTAACGGCCTGAAAGCACAATGGGAATGGCTGGCTTCCTGCAGATTTCTGTTGTTGTTTGCTTAGCTATGTGGAAATGTATTTGATTAGGAGACAGAGAGAGAGGTTAAAAATAGGACATTAATATGATATTATTTGTTTTATCAAATAAAATGCTTAGAAAATGTTTATCTTGTCTCACGAGAACAAGAAAAATAGAGGCCGGCACTTCTCTGCAGCTCTCTTTAATGAGCTGAATTGGGCTGCGTTCTCGATGCCTCTAGAAGTTTTGGGGTGAAACGAAGGAAGTTCTGAGCAGAATTCCTCATAACCACAGGCACTGGGTGTGCCTGACTGTAGAGCCAAAAGCATCCTTTAATTGTCCTGTTTTTCCTCCTCTTATTTTTAATGGGAGACATTCCCATTTGAGAACTGTAGAAGCCGACGCCAAGGGCCGGATCCTGCCACCCGTGTCGCCGCTGGTGCGCATCCGTCTCTGGGGGTGGCAGCCGTGTCCATTTGTGCAGCCGAGCAAGTCTCGCCGTGGGCAGGGGAGGCAGGATCAGAAGCCGCCTGTCAGGATGGGTCTGGGGAAGGATGGGTTGGTTGTTAGATTTTCCATATACGTTCGCACAAGTTGGATTTTGCTCGGGGTTCAGACGTTTTGGATGAGTGGGGGGAAAAGGTGGTGAGATAGCATCTCCTTCTTCACTTGTCCTTCTTCGTGCCAGTAAATGTAGCTGTAGATGAGAATTCACTGTGAATGGCTGCAGCTCCAAGAATTTATGTATGTTAGCGTTTCTTAAATGAAATAATTCTCCTGGAAGGCTCTGTGTAACATACACAGACCCAAAGAAATAAATAACAGAAAATAAAAAAAATTGCAACCAAAAAACCCCAAGTCAAGATTTTTAACGGAAAAAGGAGATTTGCATATTAATAATTCATGAGTTCTCATTGAACATGCACGAAGAAACGGTGCTATTCAATAGAGAATACTGTCATCTGTCACTGTTTTATTTGACATTTACACTTTTTTTTTTACTCTTTTTTTTTTTTTGCCTAGTACTGCAAAACTTTCTTGGATGGTGTGCTAAGATTATTTAAATAAATAATTATATATAGAAAAAAAAGTCGATGCAGACTTTTCATCTGTGCCTGAGGAAGGCGGTTCCTTGCGATCATAAAGAATGTGCGAGCGAGCTGCAGCTCTGTGTTCCCTCATGTCTTAGCCCAAGCTATTGCCTAAAAACCAACCCCATAGATGGACAGAGAGGGTCGTGAATGGACGGGGTTGAGTCCGAATGCCTGAATAGGTACAGGGAAGGATAGGAAAAGAGCAGTGCGGGGACAGATTTGATGCAGACGAGCGTACACATGCACGCAGTGGGTGCACGTGGAGGGGTGAGCGAATA